TATAATTATATAATTATATATATATAATATATAATATAGATATTGTAGTTAGCTGCCCAGTGTAGAAATTATATTTGACAAGTCCGGTCAAGCTGAAATAGAAGTATCAAGGTCTACTCCAAATAATCAACACACAAGTCTCCAGAGATGAAGAAAGGAACCTCTTCAGTCCCATCTCAGAGAACAAAATGGGAATGAGGTAAAAGAAAGGAGAATGGGGATAACAAAAGTAAACAGGTGCTCTTCCAGAAGGAATGTGAGTCAGTGTTGTCTCCTGCTAAAGTCTGTGTATTATTTACCAGTCCAGCTAGTTCTTAAACCATGACAGGGCCTTGAGGTAGACACATGATGAATTCGCTCTCTCAAGTGGCCTACTTGCACTACTTGGGGGTTTTGAAACAAGAAGAGACACTCCCGTAGAAAACAGTATAAACCATATCTTAAATTTGAATATTTACATTTTCTATACATTACACTTGAAATTCAGGCTGCTCATAGGCCACAGAATTTTGAGAGAAATGAAATCTAGTTATCATATTTTGGAAATAATGACAAAGAATTTAGCAAACACTGAAGAGCTGCTTTGTAACATTAAATCTCATCGTTAAAAGAAACTGACACAGATTATAATGTGTAGGCTTAAGGGGAAATAAGATGATAGGGCTCTTATACGTACTCTTAAGTGGATCTGCAGCCAAGCACTCTAAGGAAAAACATAGTAAGTCAACTCAGCATCTGCAAGATCAATATAATTCCTTAAGAGGAAAAAGTTCTGTGTTTAACTTATTTTTCTCCCACAGGGGACCATGTCAGACTGTTGCAGGAAGCAGTAAATTGCAGAGTTTGTGGACTCTGTTCAGGCACAACAAGAAATCATTGTAACTCAAGTGATGAAGTCGAAACTACAGGAATCCAGTGGAAACTATTTTTCATGCTCTGAATTGCAGCTAGAATTGTGGCTTTAAACTGTGTCAAATAAATGGCAGCACTTGAGATCCAGATCTGCATAGCCTTAAGTACCAAGTTGAATCCAGCTCTTACAGCCTATAATGAGTCCAAGAATAAAAATCACTTTTCTTGGGACTAATTTGTTTCCACAGAGTATTTCATGACTCCAGGAAAGCTCCTGTCTTTCTCAATAAGGGAGACCTAATCCCAAGCAGCTGCTGAATTCACATTCAATTGGTGCGAGTATGGCAAAGCACTTAACCTGCTCTCAGCTCCTACCCTGAGCCTTGCAGTGCTTTGTGCGCACCTCAAAAAGTTTCCAGTTGTTGGGATGGAGTTCTACAACCTAAGTTTCAGTTAACCAAGGATGTGAAACAGATTCAGGATGCAAGGTCTGTTACATAATATAAAACTGTGTGAAAGTTAAAAAAAAATAAAATAAACCTGGACTTTAGTGCCAATCAAGAATACATCATAATAAGGCTGGGCGTAAGTCCTGGGTGCCAAGCAGAGGGAAAGAACTTATTTCATTGAGAGTTTCATCTGCCACGGCCAACATTACAAATGGCTCAAACTTCCAGTTTCACTTAAAAGAGTTTTTCCAGAATGCTGCTGATCTTCTTCAGGCCTCTATCTCTGGGCTTGCACCCTCTCATGTGCTTTCACCTCTTCCCAATGGTTTCAAAATTCCCTCTCTAGAAATACCTATAATTTTTCTAAAGAAAACAGTCATTCATTTCTACTACAAAGTTTGGATTACAGCTGACAGCATCAAATGAAAATCGGGCACTGGAATTATTACACACAAGTGGAAGACACTCCACAAGCGATGTTCAATAATATAACATGAGAAAAGGACTAGACGAAAGTTTTAGGATACCAATTCCTTAGAATTAATAGCTATAATTCATTAGAAAGTTTAATGAAGTATAATAAACCACAGAAATCTTTTTCTTCCTTCTTTTGAAAGCCACTTTTAGTTGGCAGGGCTCTGTATAGCACTGTGCATGTCAATGTGTGCATTATTAGGACTACAAAATTGTTAGTGCTAGAAAATTGCATGTTGTCTTCATGAAGCATAGCATACAATGAGCTGCAAGGTGTCAATACAAATTTCACACAACAAAACAACTAATAAAAAAATCCAAAGAAGATGTGACCTTCAAAAAAAAATTTTTCTTTTTTTTAAATGAAAGATGAATTTGGCGGTTATTCCAAGGAAACATCATTGTCAGGTTGCAGTAGTTCACAGATTTATCTCTACTTAAAACTCCATTACAACAAAGCCATTGTAAAACCCTTAATACTTGTTTTAATGAAAAGTTTTTCAAAAGCAAATACTTCAAGCCCGCAGGAATGGAAAGAAGTTGCAAGAGAGAGGCAGAACCAGAAGGAGAAATATTACATCTCCCATTCTTTATTCTGTCTTATTCTTTTCAGATTTTGGGAGGGATCCGAGAGGAAATGTGAGGAGTATTTCCATGACTGTACAGAAATTATATGCTGTCTGGGTTGTACCAATACTTGTTCCAGTTTGGAGAAAAGCACAGAACTGAATCCAGTTAAAATAAATTTGAATCCTGTGATTTCCCTTTGCATTATTTAACAAAGGAAATAGATACATCTGGCCTAAGTTTAATTTACAACCCCCAATTCAGAAAACTCTATGTTCACCTGTGCACACTTCTCAAGTTTATATCTGCAAGCTGTAGGGACCACAGGTCTGTTCTCTCAATTTTGTACAGGTCACTTTCTGGTCAACATAGTGATAAGCAAAACCTCAAAGTTAATGAGGGGCTAAACCTTTCATCCCCTATCTATGCCTGTGACAGGGCTCTTTGAGGGGGAAAAAGACACAAAAGCTCATAAGTTGCACAATTAGTCTCTGCAGAGCAGTCAAACGTATAAACTGTCAATGTCAAGTGAGGAACAGGAAAGAGAAGAACAGTAATTAAGGAATTAATTAGAGAATAGACAAAAACTCTTCCTGTTTTCCTCTCCCTACTTGGATCTTCCCACCCAACTCAGAAAGGGTATAGCCATTTCAGTATCTCATATCACCAAGGGTGTAGATGCTCTCAGGCCACAAACTGCCTGGCACCTTGTAGCAAAAATGTGGGCAGTCTCCTTTGCAGGAGTATTCCTCAAGGAGCCTTCCTGTCCTCCTTCCAGGTAATATTCTCTTTGGATGAACCAAAGCCCAGAGCCTCCTCAAGGAAATATCTCTCACAATTCTTTCTCAGAAGTTAAATGGAAGACAGGCCCTTCTTTACGTCTTTTATTCTTGCAAATTAATTGTTACCTACAGTGTGTTCTCACTGCATCACTGATTCCGCATTGCATTCAACTCAGATTAGATGGGCAAAGCAAATTAGTTGAGTGCAGCATAACCCTAAGCTTCATTGTGAAATTCTCTGTAAATCAAGACCCAGCTTAACTAACATCCTAGGGGCCAACAGAAATTGCATGTAGACACCAAGCTAACATGGACCAGCACCATCACTTCCTTAAAAGAAGCTTACATTATGATAGTGTAATATAGTTTAATTGATGCGACACCTGGGAGACAGAGGTGCGCTCATGCTCAGTACATCTTCTGCACCATCATGCTCAATGGCACACAGACTCAGAGCAAAGTGAAGGGCCAGACTACAAGCTGCAGGAGAGAAATGAGAACTGCAGACAGACATAGAAGCTCACAAATATGGTGAAACAACCCAGCTCATCAGACTCGCAACATCACTCCTCCCAAAGTGGTGGACTGGTGGCGTGTTTATGAAGAGGAGTTTGAAGGACGGCAGTGAAGCAACTTTCTGTGTATTTACAGATTGCTATGACCATGCACATTTGGATAAAACAAGAGATCAGTCATAAGGCTTGGCATCATAGAATGGAGGCATCATACACTGGATGGAGATACCACAATAGCGACTAGCAGAGTGGTGAAGCAGAGCCTTCAGACTGCAGGCAAGCAGATAGTGAAGAGATTTGGAGGGAAAAGGGCTGTACTCAAAACCATGGACTAAACAGTGCAATCTTGGCAACCACATTCTGGGGGAGCTCCACAAGGAAACACTGCAGTTGTCACGGAAAAGATGTAAAGAGGATCCTAGTCCAATATATTAGCTGGATAAAAAATGCCTTAAAATTGAGTTGATATAAAACAGAATCTGCACAAGCATAGGTCAAGCTGCAGACTGAACTCAGATTATGTGTGACAGGTTGGACCATGGCAGTACGTGTTGTGATCAAGAAAGGAAATGCATTCCAACTTGGAATTGAGCAAATACATCATTTAACCTTTCCTCCCACCCCATCCCACCCCTGTTTTTGAAAAAGTTAGCATGGAGTACTTGATATCTGCTGTGACAATTTCCTGGCACTTCTTTAGCTGCAGATGAAGAACATCTAAGTTTAACTAAGCCATTGTTAGAGAAAAATCAAAGGTAATGGTCAAGAAAGCTCTAAGGAATTTGTTCGCTTGACAACTTTCCATAGAGTATCTTGATTCTAATGCTTGATATCTTCGTGCTACAGGAGGTCAGAAGACTGAAAGTAACTGCTGTCTACTTCCACATGAATGTGGAAATCCTCTCTTTGCCATAATCTTAACTTCCTACTTCTTGCTGTGAAGCTGAGTTGGCTGGAAGACAAGAATTTCTCCTCATGAAAAACACTGAGGTTTTGGCATTTGCCATTCAGACAAAAATGAGGGATTTCAAAATATTTCACCACAGGGGAAAGAATGTCTGTGAGTTACTCCAGAGCAGCACTGAATGCACTTGTCTAGTAGTGATTCAAGTCTGCTCTTCTCCGTTTCTGTAGCTGACTTTTCAAAGAAAGAGGGGAAAACATCCAAATCTTCCTTTTGGATTCAGCTGTTCCTCTGAATAAAGTTAAATAAGGAGGCTGAACGTTTCCTTCTCTATTTATGAAAGGCCATTATGTACGCATTCCTGAGATAAACTATGGGAAACATAAAGCAGGGTGATTTCTAATTGAATCAATAAGGATGACGGATGATGAGAACGGTTTTTGTATCTATTATCCAGAGCATAACACCAGTTATAAGCCATGCAAACTGTTACTGGGGCAGGAGCTGAGCCCCATGCACCGTGGAGCATACAAATCCAGGCAGACTGTGCAGGGGATGACAAAAGCACTTCAGTCCTCCTGGTTCCTCATGGCACTGCACTTGTACCTGGGAAACTCTCTACCCAGAGGTGAGATTAGGTAGGCACATCACTAACTTGATAGTTCACAGTATCCTGTGTAATTGTGGTATTTAGCACATGTTGTTGGATAAAGGCTGAAACAAATTGCATTCTGGTTAATATTCCTTGAGTACTCACAGCTGGCTGGCTGGAAGAAAATTATTCTGAAATGAATTTGTATTTTATACTAAAGGTTACATTATCCAGTAAGACCAGTTCCTGGGCTAGTCCTGCCCTATGTCCTGAAAGACTTTGAGGAATGTGCGGGAGGAGGAGAAACTTTCCATTTAAATGCCTCTTGAATTTTTTCATTCTTTGCCTTGGTCCTCCTCTCCTTTTCCCATCCACGCTGTTCAAACTGGGATTGAGAGTATCCCATGAAAAGTGTTTAGTTATCTGGATATTTTTCTTTAGATAAATTTGCCTAGTGGTTAAATAGATAAGTTTTCTTGTTTAAACCTGTCTTTGAAGATATCTGTAGCAAAAAAAATTGAGGCTACTCTGTTTCACTACGCACCTAGTGAACTGGCTAACTGCTGCATGCTTCTTAAACCCAGGACACAGAAGTACGTATGCAGTTTTATAAGGTTACATAAAAAGTTACAAATGCCTTATGTAAGTATTTGACTTGTTCGTAGTCAATGGGAACTATTTGTACATGTAAAGCGAGCAAGATTTGCCCTGTAATGGATAATCCTTTCTTCATTTAATAAATAATCCTTTGTTTACTTTTCCTCAGTTCTCAAAGTAAATCTTCAGAACCTAAAAAAACAACCCATGACCTCATTACCTTCTTCCATCATGGTGCTGGAAGCCTAGAGATGACTGAGCTTACATTAATATGTTTGCTGGTAAGCATTGGGCCCTTTTTCCCCTTCTTTGAAACAGGCCTTCTGACAAAAGCTGTTCAGAGAATATCCATGATGTTCTATACATGACTTACAGGTAATTCTCTTTTGTCCTACACTTAACCCAGCAAGTCAGAAGCTTCCCATGAAAAGTGTAAACCTTGTGCCTAGAAAGATAACCAGCCTGAAAGGAAAGATGCAAGAGATTCACTTGCAGCCACAGAGCTGGAAAGCAGCTTGCTGTTTACTCCCTGCTTCCAGCCAGTCCCATGTGGCCACAGCATCAGGAGGGCATAGAAGACACAGCTGTGGGGCACTAAGCAAGATACTGAGAGCTGGTCAGCACACCACTGCCTACCCTGTTTTAATACCAGACAGCTGCACAGGGCAAGATTTGGACACAGAGCAGAAAAGCTTAATTCAAAAACAAATACCCAAACCAGGAATTTCAGAATTAATTTCAGTGGCTGAAATTAATTTATTTTTCTTCATGTTTCACCATTGTATGTCATTGTGTGACTCAGAGTCTTCCCGGTTTCAGACTTTGAAACCTCCCCACTGCACATCAGAGCCATAACATACTCAGCTCCTTTTACTGAGAGGCTTCTGCTGTAAAGGGAAAGAAATTCTACTTGGGCCAAATGATTTCCTATCCAGGCAAAAGCCTCTTAAAGGAACAGCACTTTGCAATACATCATCATAAATATTGACATGATTTATTTGTAAATGGTTATTAAAATTAGGTTCCTAATCCCACGCTGAAGCCCTTAAATCAATGTCAACATTTTCAAAATGGCAAGTATCCAGCCAGTACCCCCTGAAATATATGGTGACTTTGGTGGCCAGCACTTCTGAATGTCAAGCCATTAATTTATGTGGCTATCTTTCAGCATCTAATTTTGCTTCACCTATATTTCAAAGATGTCTTAGAAAGCTGGAGAAGGAAGAATTTAAAATTCTGGCAACAATACAGCTGTTGCTATCAGTGGGGAGTTGATTTAGTAATAAAGCTGTTGTGAAACAGACCATAGGAAGATGTTTAAACCAGGACAAAATAACTCCTAACGTTCCCTTTCTTTTTGGTAAATTATGTACCGTGCTGCCTGTATTCCATCCAGTTCCTGGAGCATGCTTCCTACCATCTGTTTTCCATTTTTCTTTAATTTTCATTCATGTCCTTTGGCCTATTCCCTGTGTTCAGAAGAAAACATTAATTAAAATTGACATTATCTCCGTGTCTTTTCCAGACTACGTAAGTTGGAGATTTTTTTTCCATGTCCTTATATTCTGGCTCCTATCTTTTACTCCAAGATCAGCCCTACTGTAATTTTTTAAGGATCAGCACACTGTGACTGATTACAGACTCTCATCAACCTCAGAAGAGTAAAGAAGTTTTATAAATCTGCTTTGTCTACAAACTTATATACAGTGATTCAATAATATTAATGCTTTTGTCCATAGGCTAGCTTGAGAATAAAGCAATACTGAACTATGTTGCTTTTTGATCACAGTAGTCATAGCATCCAAAGGGGTACAAGTGCATAGGGTGTTTGAAACAACAAAAAGCAGAAAATGCCAGCTCTGCTGCCGCAGGAGCTTTTTACAAGGACAGAGAAGGAGTGAGATGCATGTTCCTTTCTCATTCCAAATATTCTGCAGGACAGACAGAGTTTGATTCTTCAATTCAGAGTCATTCACGCACTAATAAAAGTAAATAATGCTTTCAGCTTAAATCTTACTTTGCCTTGGAATTGAAAATCTGCATGATCTTTCTTATATTTCTTGATTTTCACTTTTTAGTCTTCAAAGTGCCTAATCACAAGGTTTGTATGTAATATAACCCAATCATCACTGGTATTTTACTTAAGAACAGCAAGTTATTGTCTCTCTCTTTTGTAAAACAACGTTTAACTTTCAGTTAGTCTCATGTTAAGCCATATTTCATAACAATGGTGTCAAAACACTAAAATATAGCCTTTTCTTGACGCTGGAGTTGTGTTATATGACCACAGTCATGTATTTTGTGGCTGCCTTTCTGGGAGTCATATATTTTAAGCTTGAGAGATATATAAATCACTTATTGGGAAAGGGAAACCGTATTGTTAAAGCCGTATATATAAACTCTTACAAAGATTTCCTCAATAAATACTGTCTTATAATAGCTCCAGATAGTACATAGATGCAGTACACAAAATAATTAAAATTTATTTGCAGTATATCAGTTGACCAAAAATATCTAGAGGATGCCTTCATACCAGTGTCAGTAGAAGATAAATAGAAATTCAGAAGTCATATATTAGATTCTCAAATATATATCAAAGAATGACTTGCCTTCAAATTCAAACACTTCTATATGTTAGATAAAATAGTCCAGAACCCACAAATCATCACAGAAATAATCCGACTCCTTAGCAAACTCTAAAACTTCACAAAAAGCCAGCACTACAACAAGAAGAGACAACTTCCACCATCATTCAATCCCAACAAAACAAGCAACAGGTACAACTAGCACAAGGCTGGGCAGAGTTGAGCAGGGGGAAGTTCTTTCCCTCACAGCCGATGCAGTGAATTACTCCATTCCACAATTCCACTTCCTATTTCTTAATTTTCCTCCCCTAGCACCTTATGATCTTCTCTCTGCTCATTCTTTATTTTTCATTCACCATCTGATTTTTGTTTCACCATTTTGTTTTCTCAATTCATATTTCTAAGGTGCTGCCATTCCTCCATTGCAATGGATTTGTTCCTTCCCCTCATTCCCACTTTGCTTTACCAACATGAACTTTGGGTACATTCAACATCTATTTAAAAAAATAAAATTCTCTAAGCAATGTCTAACAGGTCAAACAAGTCAATCTCCATGCTATTTGTTTACCCCTCTGCACTGATTTCAGACAGATGTATATAAAATCAGTGCAGTTAAAAATGTAGAGTTTCAATGTACTTCAGCTCAATACAGTTTAATAGTTGTTGTCAGAAACAGATAGATAGCTAAGTTGATAACACAGCCCTGACAACCAGCACTGGGTTTGAGACTACCGGTTACCCAGAGAGGTTATGAAGTCTCTTTCCCTGGAGATATTCAAAAGCCATCTGGACATAATCCTGGCTAATGTGCTTTTCCTGCCTGAGCAGGGAAGTTACACCAGATGACCTCTAGAGTTCCAACCTCAGACATTCCGTGATTCTGCGCATGGAATCTTCCAGCATCTGTCTTAGGTATTGCCTTCATGGGAAATTCTAACATACGTGCTCAAAGCTATGCATACAGGTGAGTATTTCCTGAGTCAAAGGCACAGTTATTAAAAACAGTGTGAGCAAATATTCTTCAAAAATAATGTAAAATTAATACAAACATATTACTGTCATTTTTTATTCAACAGTAAGGATATTATTTTGTAGTCTCCTACAAAATAACCTACTGCTGCAGCTGAGTTTTGGATTTAATGTCACTTCATTATTTGCTATTTTTGAAAATTGTTAAGAAAATCTGTCAATATAAATCATAATATATATATGTGAAGTTTTGTCAAGTTTCTGGATAATTAATCTTCAGTGCAGGATATGATTTTGACTACAGAAAAAAAGTGCTTCTCTCATTGGATTTTCTTTGTTCTGACTTACAAAATGTTTTTTAAAAGCCTACAGAGAAACATGAAGCTATTGGAACAGATTTCTTTATTTCCACATCTCTCCAGTTCCTCAATATCATATCCTCTGCATATTTCATATTTCCTCCCCCTTGCTCAAGAATACAGTGAACTGATGCCTCTGCTCTGATTAAAGCAGTGCGTATTTCTTTCAAACATGAGTTAGTGCTACACAGAATGAAGGCGTATTTAGCTTCTAAGAAATACAACTTGTTTCTGCAATATTCATGGCATCCAGATCAATAAATCATTTAAATTCTAAGACTAAAACTTCCCTAGGTACAGAGGTCAAACTACAGTGGAACTAGGAAATATCAATTTCTCACAGATGTGCAATTAGAACATCTGTTAACTGTAGTCTAATCATAACTGTTGTATTTTTGCTTTTGTTCTAACATGAGGAACTTAGCATCCTATATTCAGCTTAAGCAGGGCAATTGGTCACTGCCATATTTTTAATGAAGGGTATCGAGTCTGGCAAAATTTTGGATCTCAGGTGTGAGTTTGCTACATTTTCTACCCTAAACTCCATACAGAAGAGACATTAGTTCACCAAATCATCTTCTTTTTACATGTATATATCCAACGAGTTTCTGCTTTGTGGCTATAATGAGAAGCTGATAGGATTCCACATGGCTATTGATCTCAGGTGAGCCAACTAACCTGATGTCTCTTAGACTCCAATCTAGCAAATATGTTACCTGCGCATTCAGCTCCGAGATGGTGAGTAGCATGCACCCTACCAGTGCTTGTATTATACAAAATGAATGAAAAGCGTTGTAAAGAAAACTCTGTCCACAATGGTAGATGCCTGGTAAGTGGAACCAAGGCCTCTGAGTCTATTTCATGCAGAACAAATACTTGCAGGACAGAGGTATTAGAAGATGAAGGAAGAAACACCAGGCTGAGTCCAGAGTCATCTTCAAACCAGTGTTTACTTATGACAGAAATTTGGCATGCTATTTAAGTTCCCTTTGTTTCAATTCTTCTGTCCATCTCTGCAAAATCAATTTAGATCCAGAGATGAGTACTGGTTTAAGTGCTAAACTCACTATTATTGCTCCTCTGGGGTTGGGGTGAAAGCTCTCTTTCTAAAGAGGTACAGAATGCCAATTGGCACTGATTAAAGCTAAAAACATGCAAACAGCAAATCCATGTGTTGTTGTTGACAAATAGCCTCTTAAAAGGAGGCATGGTCTAACTGGCTTTGAACCAAAAACCATAATTGTCATTGGCATTCTTGCATTAAGAGAAGTGATATGCTGACCTGAAGTGTCCAAGGCAGGAATAGTTGAAAGCATGCTGGTCTTCCCACTTCCGGTACTATCATCCATTTCAGAAGATACCAGAGTGAAACACTGGTTCATGACAAAGAAAGTTTTTATGAAGCATCCTCCTCTTCACTTACTCTATTAAATGTAAGTATTACTTTTCAGTCAATTATTTCTCAAATGCATAATCATTAGAAATGTCAGTAAAATAATAACTGAAGGGTGCTTCCTGTTAAATTTGTTAATAACCACATCCTCTGCTAATAAACACCTAGGCCTTTGGCCTCAAGTTTATTTAGCCCAGGATACGGATATTATTACCTCATTAAGAAGAAACACCCTCAAGATATTATTTAAGTATCTCCAGAAGGAGAAACAACTGAATCAATGGGATGTTTTGGCCAGCTATTTAAAATTCACTAGGTGAATTTTAAAACATTCTGTAACAACCAAGGCAATTTCACAGGTAAATTAAAAAAAAATTAGATTTACATTACACAATTATTTCTTACATTATAGCATTCAGTTGCCTTTGTGTTTACAGGAACAAGCTGAAGCCAGGAAGAAGAAAGATCTTCATTACATTTCCTGGGCACTGAGAATATGTAAGTAGGCTGATAACTATTGGCTTTTCCATTGTCATGTCTTTTTTGCTATGCTGGAAAACGTTGCAGTTACTGAGCTTTGCTTTGCCCTTTCAGAAAAGGCTGTTTTTAAACGAAATGTGATGAAACTGCTCTATAGAACTGTCACTTCAAGTCACATGCTCAAACCTCAGTACACAGTTAAGGTTTTGCAGATCCAAATTTGGGATTTTAAGCATTATAATATTCTTTCAAATGGAAAACAAAAAAATACTGTATATCTTCAATCAGCACAGCACCATTTTATACATTTCTGCAGGTAGGCATACCATTTTGAAAAGCATATTTCTTTATATATTTCTCTTTTTTTTTAGTTTTTGTTCCCTATGAAACAAGACTCAATTCATAAAGAATTGCATATGCAGTGTATATCAATTCAAGATCAATTGAAGCCAATTGCTTAAATTTAACATAGATGTATGTTCAAAAATATATCTGTAAATCCTTTAATAATGAAAATTGACAGAGGCCTATTTCACTGCCTGCTGCTCTTGCTTAAATCAGTGAAACACAATATGGGAAGTCAAACTCACTGTCTCTAACAACATCCTCACTGGCAAACAGGTAAAGCGCAGCCCAGACAGACAGACACAGCTAGGTGGATGGAAACCTGGCTGAGCTGCTGGGCTCAAAGGGATGCAGTCAGCAGTACAATATCCAGACAAAGAACAGTCACCAGCAAACACAAGATGACAAACTAATTTTGTTACAAATATTAAGTATCAGGGTAATTCTGCACAATATTTGACTCATCCAAAAAATTCTTCAGTAGAATCAAAGACACCGCACAGGACTCCTGACAATCATTCTACTTCTAATATGGCAGGGATGTACAGTGACTCCACAAAGGCTTCACTCAATGAGCAATAATAAGAGCCTAAAGTGAAACATCAATAGTGGCATTCATGCAATTATTCATACACTTACTGCCCCTCCATTTTTAACTCAGCTACTCATAGCTCCCCAACCCGGTTACTCATCCCACTTCCTCATCAAGTATTGGAAAACAGTTAAATAACAAAATGGCAAGGATTCCTTTATGTCATAAGATTGACAGAATAATGGAAACTTTACCCTATTAAATAAATAAATAAATTGGCAATTATTTTTACTACAGATAAGATTTGGATGATGCCAATAGCTCCAATTTTTTTTTTTTTTTTTTGAACATATTTTGTTTATGTTCAAGTATACAACATGAATTAAATATACAGCTGTTGTCTCGCTGTTAAAGACTGGCACATCATTGAAGATGGATTTCCTTGAAATCACAGAAGCTCCCAAGACATATGAAGCATGAAAACAGACCATTCAATAGAAATTACTCATCAACAGACTCATACAGTTTGCCTTTCTGATTTTAAATATAAGACTGAAAATATTTCACAAATGCTGAGATTTTGTTTTCCCTTTTCCTGCTTTTCTAATCAAGACTCTAGCACAAACTACCAAAAATCTCAGTAGAAGTGTATTATTTTATTTTTAACTTCTTCCCCATTATTGGACTTTCTTAAGGTTTTTGTTTCTTGTTTTTTGGTTTTTTTTTAATGCAGGTGTCAATGGAAAGATGAATGGACTTAAATATAAGCTTTTGAGTTTTGGATCTCATAACGTTAACAATCTGAAAATCAGAAAATGAAGTTTGACTTCTAATTTTATTTTTTTTTTTTACACTGACATATAAAAATACAACATTAGAGCAGAGGTAAAACTCAAGGACATCTCTTGTGGATTTTGGAGAATGCAGCCATGTTGGAGACAAGACTGACCAGTAAGTGGAAGCTGCAAAGGGCAGCCAGGGAAAAATCAGAAAATAGAGCCCATTAATTTGAAACACCCAAGGGACCCAGGAAGGGACTGGTCACTGTGTCTGTCCAACCTGAGGAAGGACTAAGAGCTGATGACTGTACTGGCACACAAAAAGCCTCACTAAACTGGCCATTAAGAAGGTGGGGAATGACTGAGAATTTTCAGAGCTAGCCACAAAGAGCTGGTTTTGCAAAAGCAGAGGTTTCTGTGCTAGGACAGAAACTAACAACACTCTGACCTCTAAGCTCTTCCTGACTTACTCATCAGTGTTTTTGGCATTAGAGACTTGACAGTGGCTTTCATAGACCACATCACCCTCTTACTAAATATTTTTCTCCAGAACTTCACAGCCAGGTGTTGTAAACAGTGATCATGTCATCCACAGATAGAATATGAGTACAAGCGAGGAATATTTGGGAAAAGCCACTTTAGAAGAGGGGTTCTTCACAAATGGAAGTGGTGAACAGAGAATGGTGAACAGATTAAAAAATGTCATTTTGAGAAAAGTAGACAAACATGGTTTGGAAAATGTCAGTTCCCATCAAAATAGGGTTTTTTGTTTTTTTGTTTTTTTGGTTTTTTTTGCCACAGTACTTCCTTGTCAGCACCTGCCCTTCCTTCTCTGCCATCCTCAAAAAAGGACAATATTTTCAATTTGATTTCAATGCCTTAATTATGTAGTAATATAAATACAGTAACTAAAATTAAAAAAAAACCTATTTATTATTGAAAATGCAAGGTTTAGGGTGAATTAGTCACATGATTAGCTTTCCTAGTGCAAAATGCTGAAACAAAGTACTATTTATATTAAAAAGGAGACCGTTTTTAGTGAGAAAGTCTTGTAGGAGTACATCCATATCATATCAGCTGTTATGAAATGATGTCAACGCTGTTATAAGATATTCATTCTTTTAAATAGGATTAATATGAACTCAGCAGTCAGTTACCATTTTAAAAAGACAATGTTTTTATTTTGTAAGGCCATGACTTTATTTTTAGCTCTTTATAATGTTCATTTAGAGAGTACAATGACATTACCCAATGTGAATTTTATATGAATGTCAGTACAGTCTCTCTAGGTGAAAATTACCCCTAAAAAGTGTCCAAGACCACGTCAGGCAAGATCACCTGCTTGTGAAAGCTGTTTTCATCTTTTCTCTCCAACAGAGACAGGACTACCACAAGGGACATGCAGCACTGTGGATTACAATTGTTCTGTTTATTGCACTAGGTTGCTAAATTTTTTAAAACTTGACAACTGTCCTGAAGATACTGCAGCATTTCTGCAGATTGTTTCAGTGTGAAACAGAATGCAGGGGATCTGCCTGCCTGTAAGCTGGCATGCAGGATGATGTACATATATCAGTAACAGCTCAGAAATCAGCATTTTGATTATGTGAAGTACTTTTTGCCTTCATTTTCAGTTTCTAAACTTGTTATGACTCAACAGAATCACAACAAAGTTATGAAGTTGGACAAAGCAAAGGGAAACCAAAACATCTTCATTGACTGGCAGCCTTCTGCCAGAAGATGTTACAATTGCAGGGTAACTTTGATGCAATTGCTCTGAGTTATCACATATTTTACGTATGAGCCTATCCAAAAAAGATGGAAAGAGGCATTACCTTAGGCTCTCAACAGGACAAGAGGTAATGGCCTTAAATTGCATGGGGGCTGAGGGGAGACATGTCAGGTTGGATATTAGGAAAAATTTCTTCTCAGAAAGGGTGGTGATGCACTTGAAGAGGATGCCAAGAGAGTTGGTAGAGTCACTGCTCCAGGAGATGCTCAAGAAGCATGGAGGCATGGCACTGAGAGACACAATTTAGTGGGCAATATTGGTGGCCGGTGGATGGTTGGACTAGATGATCTTGGAGGTCTTTTACAACCTTAATGATCCTGTGATTCTTAAAATTATACAATTGATTGTTAATTTGGGTATAGGCTGTTCTGGAAGAAAAGAGATCAGAAAAGGAGCAAAAATAACCCTTCAAAACTAGAAGAGAAAACCAGCTGAGCACCCTAAAACTCTGAACTTGGAATTCATAAGGCAGATGCAAGTGATCCCCAGAGGGCAAACGGGATTCTCAAAATTCCCTGCCTGTCTGCCACATCTTTCTCTTTGGGTCTTGCTTAGCTTTCTGCGTTTGAGCCAATCAGGAAGCTGGCAAAATAAAGATCATTCTGTAAGGGCCCCTTCTAAGGCCCCATCTGGAGTACTGTGTCCAGTCCTGGGGCCCCCAGCACAAGAAGGATGTGAAGCTGGTAGGATGGGTTCAAAAGAGGGCTACAAAGATGATCAGAGAAAAAAAGTTGAGGGATTTTGGCTTGTTTAGCTTAGAGAAGAAAGTGTTCAGAGAAGACCTCATCACGGATTTCCAATACTTAAAGGGAGTTTACAAGCATTAGGGAGACAGACTTTTACAAAGTCAGAAGACAGGACAATGAGGAATGGCTTTAATCTAAAAGAAGGGAGATGGAGGTTAGATGTTAGGAAGAGATTTTTTACTCAGAGGGCGGTGAGGCACTGACACAGGCTGTCTGGAGTGGTTGTGGATGTCCCATTCCTGCAGACATTCAAGGCCAGGTTGGATAGGGCCCTGGTCAACCTGATCTGGTGGGCAGCAAGTGTTTTGAACAAGATGATCTTGAAGGTCCCTTCCAACCTAAGCCATCTGTGGATAAAACGAGCCACATCCTGTCCCTCCCTCTATACTTTTATCATGCTGAGACCTCCAGCTCCCAAAATGTGGTGCAAGTCACGGGAAGGGCTAGGGGAGTCAAACTCTCTGAAATTAGAATTTCAGATAGTGAGCTGATGCTTTCTTCCTCAAAAAATGCAAAATAACCCAACAATGCTTCCCATTAATTCCCCACATTCCCATGTTTTGAAGGCTCACAAAGAATGAGTTCTGTACTGCTGGCACCCCAGCAGGCTGAGCTTCCAGTTGGGCAGTGGGGCAGGAGCCAAGAGTGCAGAGCATCTCAGGGCACTGCTACCTGTGCTCCTTCCTGCTGAGCCTCTGCCAGCAGCCTCCGCCAGCACAGCAGAGCCATGGAGGAACTGAACAGCATGTTTGTAAGCTAAACAGGAAGGGAAGCATGCCAGACACTTACATCACCTGACAGATGTGCTTCTCAAGCATGCAAGTTTATTTAAGGCTTTTTCATGGTGTGTGCTGACCCAAAATCAATAAATAAATGAATAAATAAATAAAAGGGGGAGGGACGGGGGGAGAAAGGAAGGAAGGAAAGAAAGAGAGAGAGAATTGGTGTCATGCTCAACATGTTTTGCACCCTGTAAAAGGGAATTAAGAGACTGAAGCTCCCCGCCTCCCTCTTCTTTATGTCTGGAAGTGAGCCCTTCTGAAACACTATAGCTACTGGCTGCACAGCCACACATAATAACATGGTAGCAACACATAAACCTGTCAGTCTTGGATGGAAATAGATGGTTAGGCTGAGGGGGTAAACAGACTAAATCAATTTGAACATGCATGTTAAGGACTGTGAAAGGGCAGAGTTTAGTGCTGCTAGGCTGGAAAACATTTGTCTCTGTCTCGTTGTATTTCCCTGCCATTCAGCGGCATCCACCCACAGGCCTCTCGCTTGGCTCCAGTCAGGCTCCACGGCTGATTAATGGCAGCTGGAGGTGTCCAGTAATTTCCTCACCTTATAATAAACTACAACCCAAAACAGAGGTTCCCCTCAGGCCCACATTTAACATAGCTCTACTTACTACCAGGAGAAAGCCAATTATCATGTGTCTGCTCACGGCTTAAGTGAGCAGGTTTAAGTGGCTTTGAGAGGTTACTTAGCTGACTTTGGGCATATCATCTTTGTCTGTGGCAGAGTAAACAAGGCTCAGATAACATCTGCATCACTCTTGCAAAGGAATTGTACAAAAAGAAGAAAGCGGGAAGAAAGGGGGAAGAAAGAGGAGCATCCTCACAACTGGAATATAGCCTCCTTTAAAAAAATCTTAACAGCAATATGATCTTAAAAACAGAGTGATTTTTTTTCTCTAATTCAAATCCCAGGGTCACCAGTGCACACAATTACAATTTCAGTGTCTGAGGCTTAAGCAATCAGTCTGGCTCACCACTTCCTACCCAAGGGTGCCCAATAAAGTGTTTTATATGAAGAGACATCCTTAACAAGAACTTTTCCAGATTTTGCTAGCAATTAAAACAGAGCCTTGTTACTGAAGGAGTGGCATAGCTTTGTGCCTCAGTATTGAGTACAAAGGCAGCATTGTTTACATGGGCATCATTCTGACTACACAGTATTACCTCTATATTTGTAATGATAGCACAACTATCTACTTGACTAATAGGATGGAGGCCTGGCTGTCAACAACTGATAGCAGTATTTAGAGCATGAGATAATCTATCACTCTAATAAATAAGAAAAGCTTAACATAAGAAAATGCAGTTAAAACCACAGAACTATTCTTTGTGCACCCAGCAGTGCCACTAAAATGGAACAAGGCATCAGCCAGCATAAGAAGAGTTTCTTTTACCGGCAGCTGATTGCAGTTTCTTTTCCCTAGGATGCAATGGTGAAGTTGATGGAACTAATGAGTGGAAATTAGGTATTCTGTGGACAGAAGAGCTTGTAACTTCATGTGTGATACAGCACCATGTGCCGTGTGCGCATGTGTATAGCACCATATTTGATGTAAGGAAGAGTAATGCAACCGAACGCAGATTTCTACCTTTCATGTATATAAGTGAAAGAATATCAAGGTAGATGCACAAAGAATACTGGAATAATGTTTGATTTGTAATGTGCAGTAAAAAGGTGAAATAAGTCTGAGTATACCACTGTTTCAGCACACGGGCTATAGCAAGCAATGCAGATGCCAACATTCTTGCAGTAGTACTTCCTTTCTATAGGGACAGGATATACACGATGCCAAAAAAAAGGAATGGTGTTCCATATGGTTTGACAGGTCCTGTTAATACCTGCGGTTCTTAATCTCTGTCAAAATGTGAAAATGGAAAAAAATGCTTCTGTTTATGTGCGCAAGTGTGCTTTTCTGCAGGAACAAATCCAATTAGCATGTGGACACTGAGGAAAGATTGTCAGACACAGAGCACTGCTGTCAATGTCTGGTCACACAGGCAACTGCTGGCACTAGGGGATTAAAAGGTAACATAATGATTTCTTCAAAAGTATTACAACAGCTTGGGAGGAAACCCATTTTCCAGACATCTGTGCAAATGGATTTTCCATTCTCTTCAAAGGTTTTTTCTGTTCCTCCCCTATCTTCCCTTCCTGAGGCACAGATCATCAGAAAAAAAAATTTAAAACAATTCTGGATGTTGCTGTTATGCAACATATCCCATATGTAAAAGGCATTTCTGCCACAGATGTCACTACATGCAACTTTCCAATAAGTTAGAAACTCAGTAAGTAAAAACAGGGAAGAAATGCATATACAAAAGGCAATACTTCAGGAATTGGTGTTTTCAGTTGTATTAGAGAAGCCATTTTGTGGAAGGTACTGCTTCTAACCACTAAGTTACAAGCAAGAACAACTTCAAGCAATGCTTTCTAAAAGCAGGGAAGGAGGGAAGCTTGTCTTATCAAAAAGCTGCTCGTTTTTTTTTTCACTGTTGTTCTAAATGCTGAGGCTCAAGCACAGAGTTTATATCTCTTCTCAAAGAGGGCTTCCTACATAAAATCTCACATTACTTTTACGATCTCAAAAGTCTACATATGTGGCAGGTCAAGCCTACACATTAGCGATTACAGGACCACACTGGAAATTACACTTTCCTTAGCCACATAATTCTGTTTAAAATTATGAATGTCTTAAATTCAACACACACAGTACATAGCTTATTTTCTAGGCGAATTTAAGCTTCCTGACTGATGAAGAGTCTTTCTCCCATATTGGACTCCAGAAGGTAGGTATAGAAGCAGGTATAACAGATTCCCAAATATTGTCTCAGAAGCATAGTAATTTTGCAAGCATTTGGCTCAAAAATAAGCAACCATGACAATTTAACATCACACAGTTAAGTAGCTTCCTAATACAAACTGCAGTAGACACACTATGAGAAGTTGCAGAAAAGTCTCATCTCTAACTAGCAAATAAGTAGTATAATTAGCATGAACCATGTAAGAATTCAATCTGATAAGTATTCTGTCATCATCAGTATAGACTATATTAGCTATTAGCACTTACTGTATTAGGTTTTACATTAAAGAGAAATAAGTATTTTTTCCTCTGAATATTAATTATACATTTTACATATGGTATTAAACAAATGCTTTGCTTTTTCCGCATGGGAGAAATATTAATAAGTTCTGTACTTTTCTTTTAGTTTTATGCCAAATAAAAAACAATCTGTTCAGAAACTAGGCATACCAGAAGCAAGCTCAGAGTGCACAATGCTGCCCAAGAGAAGGATATTTGTTGCTTTGCAGAAGTAAGCTTTCCCATGCCTTTTCTGTGTTCCCTGTCCCCATTGCTCAGTCAGCCAATGCACTCCTAAGTAATCATAGAATCAATCACAAAATCATCTAGGTTAGAAAGACTATTAAAATCACATAGTCCAGCCGTGTACCTATGCCTGTGACCGCTCTAGATCAAGTCGCTCAGCATGATATCTACCCTTTTCTTGAACACCTCCAGAGATGGTGACTCCAAGCAAGCTGCTGTGCTGCACATCACATACCAATCCATAAAGGGTCAGTCAATGAGGCAAGAATTTCTTGGCAGTTGGCAGCCTTCTGGCCTGCCTTTTTCCTTGGGCCAAGAATAGGCTCTCCATTCCTCAGAAGAAACAACCAGAGAAAAAAAATGGAGATGCCTTAGTTTTCCACTGGAAGGAAACTATACATAAGCCTATTTCTTGTGTTAGAGCTACAGAAGGAGGTGAGACCTCAATCCTCTAGTGTAGGTTACTGAAGTTCAGGGCAGGTAGTGCTAGATACTATATTGCCATATCTACAGCCAAGTTGTAAAAGCTGTAAAAGAAGAGAGATGGGAATTTTTAAAATGTAGTTCACTTGACCTTGAAAACAGGTCAACACATTCACTTTATCACCAACTACCCTGTCCTATAGTCGAAGTTCCCACATTTCTCTGTTGTCTCTGAAAGCAGCTGAGTATAAGTTCAAAGATTTAGAGATGTACACATGGTCATGTTGCTTCTTTTCCTTTTCAGCTAAACGCACGGCCAACCAGGCCACCCCTCTCCTGGATTCCTACTTCACCATGCCATATTTTTTTCGGCCATGACTGTACTTCACTTATGAAAAACAGTTATCTTAATCCTCCTAATGTTGCTATTTCACCTTTGTGATAGTTGCACTGGTTCTGCTCTTAGGACTCTGATTAATTTCCTTTCCCGAGTGAGATGTCTGTATGTCAGAGCACGTTTGGTCCTTTTCACTCAGGAATTTTGTTGGGAAACACAGAATTTCTTTCTCGTGTCAATTTGTAGTAGCTATTATTATGGATTTGCATTTTTTTTTTTTCACAACACATGCTGATGAGACCTTTGAGGTGGGCTTTGTGGTCAGTATTAGTCAATCTACTTAAAAGAAGAAAAGTGGTAGAGAAAATGAGCTTTATAGAGGGTATGGAACATTTCAACAGTCTACAGTGTGACAGAGAGTGCACAAAATACAGCAGAGCTTATGTGCTGGGCCAAAGTAACTAGTGAATCCGAGATAATAACAGCAATATTTCTTGTTATCAGTGATATTCAGAAAAAATATTAGAAAGGTTCTGATTTTATTGTGTAGATAGTTATATTTCAGTGAACACTTGGAACACCTTGGAGAAAAGGTATATGCTTTTTCAGAGAAAAATGAGCCATTTGATTCTTTTTCTTTCAAGACGTATACCAGTAAAAGTATCCAGAAAAAAAAAAATAATAAAATAAAAAAACTTTTGTTACTGAAGAAAAATGTTACTAAAAAAAGGAAAAGACTAAAAGCAACTTTTGCTCACAAAGTTTCCAGTGATTTTTTTTACTGCCAGTATTATTTATATGTCTAAAATGCTCGCAAATGTAAAACTCAGCGCTAGAAGTTCTGACCTGTTAATCTTGCAGACACTAAGACAGCTCTGTAACAGTTAATCTCCACATAAAATTCAAGTCTGATTTATTTCCTCTCCAACTTCACCTTTTCCTGATTTCATAAAATATTTTGTACTTATGGCATTAGCGTCAGATCAGTACAGGACTGCGCTTAGCACAAAACACAGAGTTAATGACCACCATCCATATTTATTAGGAGGGGCAAGAACATCCAGTGATTTTCTAGACAACAAGAAGCTATCTTACATCACTCATCAGTGCATAAGTGAAGCCAAAGTTGAGCATGATCACATAGGCTATGCAAGTTCTCTCTATAAACAAGAAAAGCTTTATGGGTAGTTATATTTTCTCTTATGGTATGCTATGTTAGGAAAAGAAATCTTTCAAGCACAGAAGTGCTTTTTAAGATCTTGTGAGGTTTTTCCCCCCAAATAAGTCTATCCTACTAATAAAATCTGCTTCTCCCTTCTAATCTTTCCTCTCTGATATCCTTTAAACATCCTAGCTATAACAACGTTACAATTTTCTATGTATCTTCTGGCTCCCCCTTCTCTATCAAATGAAATACGAGCTGCATGTCTCGCAAAAACTGGTTGTAAAGCTACCCCTGCATCCACATTCAAATCCCCTCTGAACCAACCATGAGGGACTGCTAAAAACATAAGCTGCTGATGTGCTGTGACAGCTGGTCTGCCTCTCCCTGTACTTCTGCTGCTGCTTACAAAAGGCCTGCAGAAACCGGTTTTTCATTATTCGTTTTACTGGTTTCGCATCTAATCCAACAGGCCTCTGGTTCATGACCCAGGTTCCTAAGCGATACCATTAAACAAATAATACTAATAAAGGTAGCCTGTATGGTGCCTGGGCAATCTCTGCACGGACTGCATCTTGTGTTATTTGGATTTTTATTTTTCTAAGGACAAAATTTTTACAGCAGAAAAGTATATGCACCGTTCTGGAGATTTCCCCCAACAACGGAGCCGTTTACTTCAGACTTCACCTAATGCCCACCAGTGTCAATCAGAATTCTCTATCAGCTTTAACACACATGAAATTCTCTGACAATTTTAATGGAATTATTGGGGAAGAGATTTTCAGGCTTAGAAAGACTCCTTAGTAAAGAGAGCTGGGAAAAGCTAATGTTTTGGCACTGTGTTGAATCTGCCTCAAAGATGGATGCAAGCCTACATTCGTTAATTTTATGTACTGAAGCTCTGGCTTACAAGCCTGCCTTTGAACCCAGGAACCTTGCAAAGCTGGGCTGCACAGTTAAGGGGCTGAGCTCTTTACCGACCTCCCTAGCTCCTTCAAATATCTCCCAAAGCCATAATACTACTCCTTCTGTGCCAAGATTACGTGTTCCCATACTAGGGAAGGGGCGAACAAAGTCCAAAAGAAAAGGGAAAGCTGGTCTCCTGTCAGAGCCTCGGCTTATCTCAGCAGCCCCCTATTTTTAACTCGATTGCAAAAGATATCTGTGATCAAAGGGCCAGAACCCCTGGAGGAGCTTAGGCGAACAGCGTGGTGGCCGCAATTCTTCCTGATGATTTGTAAGCAGGAAAGGACTTTTGACATGAAAGACAGCTTAAACAGCACAAGAATAGCAATAAACCAGCTGTAAAATGCTTAACATTGCCCTTGAACTAATGCAAATTGTTCCAAACAATTTTATTTTCTTTTTCTTTCTTCTCTTTTTTCTTTTTTGTTTTTCTCTTTTTTTTTTTTTTTTCCTCTTTGCAGTCCCTTGGTGCCCTGCTGGGACATTTAAACAGTCACATGCTCACCATACAAAAGCCTATATAAGTGGGGAAATACAGTGTACTAATGTGTTTAGAATAAGGGAACCAAACAAGGGCTACAATTCAGATCTGCTGCCTTCCTTTCTTTTGTTCAAGGAAGTGTTCATTAATGACTAGCTTGTTTTGGATACTGACTGAGCTTCCAGACAGAAATGTTGAAGGGTAATTTATTAGCTTAAAATATTCCATTAAGCAATTGAGGAGATAGTTAGCAAAGTAAGCAAAAACAGAATGTCCTTAAAGTAAATTAGTATGGTCACTGAATATTCTAGGTGCTTAGAAAGCAGGAATATTTACAATCAGAACTTCAGCAACAGTAAAGAAAGGTAGTAATATATGTTTATAGAAATCACATCTCAGGGGAGTGCTCTCTACTATAATAGCTCCCTATGGAAACTGCACTGCAAGAGTCTTACAGAATCCTTTAAATTCACCTCTAAAAGCATTTCTTTTTTCTCCTACTGTAGACGTTTTGTTTCAAGTAATAACACATATCCTTATCACTAGCAATTAGTTACAATCCTTTCAAAAACATCCAATATGGAATAAAATATTTATCTTGGTACAGTTAGAAACAGGAAGGACCAATGAGATCATTGCTTCAATTTCCCAAAACTGTTGAGTACTGTGACGGCAGATATATCAGCTTTTACAAAAACATCAGTAATTAGAAGTTGTTTGGTGCGCATGTACGTGTTTAATAAATTAAAATTCTCTGGTATGCCTGTTCTCTTGTATTTCTTTCTGACAAAGCTTGTTGCCTTAGAATACCTTTATCTTTCCTCAAAATCATTTTCATTCCTCATCATTGTTACTCATGCCACTGCGTCAAATATTCGTATTAAGAAATGAAAAAACATAATGAAAGAAATGGTATTTCAAAGAGCACTTAAGTACAGACTTAACTCAGATGGACGAAAGCAGAGTTTAACCAGACATTTGAACTCAAACAATGTTAATCTTCAATTTCTCTACTTTCTTATAAATTCAGTTCACTTCAGAACAGCATGGGAACACTACCATTCAAATTCAGTAGATGAGGAGTATGAAGAGAGCTGTGCATCCATGGTCATAAATACAAGAGGTTTGTGACCTGCCTAGGACACAACCTTGGGAATTCACATCCCAGTATATCAAAACATATTTCTTGTGATTTCATCTCCTCAGATTTCTCTTATGATGGTAGGACATGCACTTTTACTCCTTCTGTGCTGAGGATAAGACCGCTTTATGTCTTATTTATGACAGTGCTGTAACCACTCCTTGTCTTATGCTAAGCACTTGGATCTTAGAGTTGTTTTAACTAGCATTTTTTGAGCTCCCGAATGCAACTACAAAGTAAAGCATTTAAAATGCTTCTGACTCTCAAATATGATGTCAAAGAAATATAGTTGATTGACATTTTAAATTAAGACTTGTGCTTTAATTGTAATCATCTTCCACTCAGTAAAATTATTCTATTGTTCAATTTAATGTAAAATTTCAGCGACTTAAAAAAGAACTTCAAGCATTTTACTGACTTCTGTTCTTACTTTGTTTCATTTGATTTGGTTTTTTGTTTGTTTGGTTTGGTTTTTTTTAGTTTGGATACATTATGAAATAACTATTAAATTTGCAAAATTTTACTGCACGTTTCCCAACTAGCAGAGAAAGTAACTGCCCAACTTTGTTTCTGTTTTTCTTAACACTAATTTTTTCAAGTGTTAGAGGTTAATAACACTTATTTCATCCATTGCTGGGATCTAATAAAAGCAGTGGGGCATAACATTCTGTAAAACTGAGCAATAGAGGAAATAACGCTAATGTTAACCTCTAACATAAATGTAGTGGTAATTACTTTGGTCTACTTTTAAAATGAATGTCTTTTGCAGTCCTTCAAGTGGCATGGTAAAAAATTCCTCTTTGTGTTCTAGGCAGCCACCAATTTCCCAGATCAAGAGCAATCTATCCTACCCATTTCTGCTTCTCACATACCCTTTTTAAGCCACACTTCACAGTAATAGACAAAGATGTCACACAAAGAGTTAGCACACTACTACAGACATAAAAGGGGCAAACAGTGATAGCTACCTTAAATGTACGTATCTAAGATGCAGAGGCAGCTTCCTGCCAACACATTTTCCCTACTTTTCCTCTGTCTGAGATTTAAACAAAAATATATTCCAAATTGATTCATAGTGAAATAACTGAGAAGATATCTCCTCATGCCTGCTTGGATATATGGAGTTTTTACTAGTTAAGTATAAATGCAATTTTATTTTTAAATAAACTTTTAAAAATTCTCTTGCATGACTTTTGGAATAATCTGAGAAATGTGTGCAAATATTCTTTGTCACCTAATAGCCTCCACTGATATGAAGACGCAGCCCAGCCTTTGTGTGTTGATATCATATGTCAAAAATAGAATTTTACTTATATTCACAAATATTTTCTTGGGATTTACCTCAATTTCCAAAGCTCTTCAAGCTTGATAGGAAAGGCCATGACTTCTCCATAGACCTCTATGTAGAGGTCTAAGCCATTACACAATACTGTTTACCCTATGTTTAGGAGCTCAGCAAACTACTGTACCACAGTAGTACATGTGTACTGTACTACTACTACTGTACATAGGACTAAGCTAGAACAACATATTCAACTTGAAATATGCTATCATTAATCCAATGCCAAACCTTCTTCTCTGGTTTTAAGAGCATAAGATACAGACACTACTATATTTTTTTTCTATTATACAATGTAGTAATTGTACTGCAGCCCACAGCAAGAACCTCACCAACACAGCAGAATGTCACTGCACACTAAGATCCTGTTGTTGGTCTTACTCTATATTCTGCTAAAGCAAAACAAACCAAACTTGAATCCAAAAGAATATATATACTCATTAAAAAAGTGAAGTTTCCTCTCACTCTGCTTAGAACTGCAAGCACAGAACTAGTCACACATTTCATTTTTTTCCCAAGAAAAATGTAGATAAGAACATATTTCAAAGGTTTAGAAAACCTCACAAAGGAAAGAAAAATTTGATTTG